TACACAGTTGTTTTTTTACACCTACCGCCAGTTGTACACATTTCATTTGTATATTCACCGAAACCACATCACAACAGCAGCAACCTGGACCGATTGTCAGTGGACATTATTACTTCAAGCTACCAGTCCAGCAACTCAGTACGTAAATGTGCGACGCATTCTGACGCATTAGAAACAGCGATAGATCGTAATCTAACGTTATCGTGAAATACACACATAGAAGAGCCAACAAGGTGTCTGGATTTTAAAACTTTTCTAAAATCAGGTTTCCAATATGGAAGAAAGCCTAAACCTACTTAATAAACTGCAGAGTTAGTGTGTTTGAGTAGATACTCGAAAACGCCAAGAACAAGAAGGTCTTTGTAACCTGAAGTCCGGTCAGCATATTTTAAAATACTCATATTTAAATGGGTACACCAAAGACTTTACCAACAGATTTCAGCAACTAACCCCGTTTTCTGTCAACTTACCCATCGCACTAGACAATATTGCCTAATATTACTAGGAAGGAAACGATAAACAGTTCAGAATCGGAAAATAGACTTTTTTCCCCAGAAAATAGTCTATTTTGCATAAGAACAAAATTGAGATAAGTAAAAAAGCAACAAACTGAAGGTAAATCCAAGTTCGGTCTCACCTGAGCAGTTAATGTATTTTCTGCCGGTTACTGAATATTCCTCTGCAACATAAACAGACTCCCACGATACTATACAAATGTCCGCGAATACTTTCACCGGGCCTTTTTCACTTTCAAACTTCAAAATAATTGTCAGGTTTGCGACGGAAGAAAGTGATAGGTTGGGAAAAACGAAGAGTTCGAGAAACAAGTTCTTAGTGTCTGCATCAATCCGAGAGATACTGAGACGTAGGCTATTACCGGGTAAGTAGTATTCGACAAATTCCGGAATTACCTGGTAACAGGAAAGCGAGCAAGATAAGGCCCAACATTAGTGAAATCCAGACAGAAGTTTTGATAAAACAGGATTGGCTTCAATCACAATGGGAATAAAGTTTTTACTACAGCTCACTTCGAGGCGCATGAATCCCCAAAGGAATGCACAAAAATAATGCAGGATAGTTCTTAATGGCATTTTGAGGTGGAGAAATTACTATTCTTTTGGGTGCAAAATTTTGTCGAACTTGGATGAGCAGCATTCATTTATTAACTCAAATGTGTCATTAACAATGGGAAACAAGGATACCACGTACATCGAAAGGCTCTACAGTAATTTTCTACTAAACGTCTGCAAAGATTAAATAAGGTGGGAGTTATACATGAAAATGGCAGATTCAGTTACCATTCCACATTTAACTGCTTAAGATCGATAGAATGAAGGGATTAAAGGATTGTAAATAAAGGGCTACAATGAAGGCACTAACCTCGACATCAAAACCTGCTTGTTCGTCTTTACCCTGTGTCGCTGAAATAGCACGGCACGTAGGTAAAACCTACAGCAAACAGAGCATTTAGAACAAATCAGACAATTAGCGGAGTAAAACAATGCAGAGTGCTTACCTCTTGCCCAGCCAACTGACTCCATGGCTTTAAGCGGACCCCATTTGTATCAAACAACCCCATACCTAATGAGAAATTCGTAGTGATGCTGCCACGCCATGGACACGAAGGACGGTATAAGTGACGACTTTGTGACCCAACAGCTCGCAATCGGGATAGCAAAGGAGTCAAAGGGCGCCAAAACCGACGATCGAGGCGGTACACAGCACTGGCTAAGGCACAAGCATCGTCGGAGACAGGTGTACAGTCGACTAGATGGAGCAACTCCTCCCGCTTTTCGAAGGACCAGGCTGGGGCAAACAAAGCCACGGACAAAGGACGGCTTGAGAAGGATTCCTTCAAGGAGATAATGCAAAACATTAGTAGTAACAGCAATGCTACTATCTATTTTTCAAGCTAAAACAATTGACTTACTGAAGCTTTAACCACGAGCTCTAGAGCTTCCTTTGTGTTGAAGCCCCCTCCGCCCGGACAGCCTCGACCAAAGCAATCAATGCCAACGAAAATTCTCATCGATTCGTTAGAATTTATTGCCCTAGAAGAGAAAAGCGGTTGGGAAGGATAAAATTTAGACTAGTAGCAAACGACAACACGACAAATTCTTGTTGTTATTGAACGGTTTATGTACAATAAGTTGATTACAAATCTAAAAACTAACAGCAACCCACAGTTGCCCCGCTGCATTTGCACTAATTACATAATAACAGCTTACAACAGGAGACATACATATTTTGAGTAGATACAAGAAGTTCTGGTGTCCAATTGTAGTTTAAGAAGATCCCATCGACACAAGAACGAAAGAAGTGACTGTTGTTTGCGCTAAGTGAATTCTGCCACTTAAGAGCTCCATTTCTTGTAACAGCATCGTACCTACACAAGCAATTATTATAATGCTAAACTCCACCAGACAACTTCTGAGCCCAGATTTTTTAGACTTCGGAGAAAATGAAGGATTCCCTGAAAAACTCTCCTGTCTTCAGTCTGTAGAATTAATTAAAAATTTTAAAAGGACTCACATCAAAGAAACAGTTTTCGAAGTTAATCAGCCAGCCGTCGAACCCATAATGACGCCGTAGAAGGTTTAACTTGTGCGCGAGCACGGCCGGGTAATTGGCACCAGGATCTTTCGCAGTAGAACCAAAAATCGACTCAAAAACAGGACAAGCAGTTTTTTTGTCGTGCTCGATTATTAGGGTGCCATATATGCGAACACCATTTCTACGAAAAAACACAATGAGTTAACCGTTAAATGTATATATCGAGACATGTTTTTGAAAGTTATTCCATTTTCAAGTTCAAAAAATAGCTTTGATTTTATTGTGATTTATATTCGCAAATAATATATAGAAAAACCACGTTAATTACTCTTATTTAGAATAAATTATGCGAGCACTATAATTCAATAAACTGGACAAAAGCAATAACTCAATGACTGCAAGAATTCGAGAAAGTTGAAAGTTCAAACGTACAGGTGAGCAAGTTTTACCCAAGAAACAGGGGGAATGGTAACAAAATGGTGACTGAAGTAAACAAATATGTCAATTAGATCCCAATGGATGAAACGAAAAGTTGGAAACTGGTTAATTTTTTCGGGACTGCAGTCGAACTCATGATATCCACCTGCCATATCGTGACAAAATAACACCAACGGGGTTGTAAGAGACCGCTGAAATGTACCTAGCTCTGTGTGGGTAAATCTAATCGACTTTCACCAGTACCATCGACAAAGCCAATATTAGAGACAAGGGGGACGGAATACGATTCACAGAGGCCTGGTGAATTCCATTTAAAAAGTTCCTCGAGAGATGAAATAGGAGAACTAGTCATCCGATAATAATACCCAAGGAATACGAAAAAGAGCTTATAGAGAATTTCAGAGCGGCAGAGGACAAGTCAAAATCCCAAACTGCAGCAACGTGGTTTTGACGCGTTCCACTTCGTTTTGTGGTGTGGTGTGTGTTGTGACTGTGGTGTGGCGTCGGATTGGGGCGCAGACATATTGGACCACCTGGCCGCAGCCAATCCTATGTCTCTCTGCAATCCAATGGCATGCGGGAAAGGAAGGCAGCCAACCAGAGAAGGACACGACTGAGGAGCAGTATATAAT